CCTGCAACACTTCTCTGGAAGCCCACCCAGAACAATTCGTTCTGTCCCCCAGGCGGACTCAGTTCCTCCTCCACTCCCCATGCCTCGCCCCCACGCCATGGACCTGCTCCCCAGTGGCACTGACCAGGACAATGACTCCGAGCTTGCCTTGGCTGTCGTCCAGTGCCGTTAGACCTTGTGGCTGCTAGGCTGCATGCAGGTGCATGTCCGGCGAAGACACAGGGCCTGCAGGCCCGCCAGGCAGCAGGCGACCGAGTCCCACCTGCCTTACTCGTGCGATGACACGCTTATCTGTCCAACCTCGTTGCTCTGTGGGAGGTGGTCACTTCTGGCTCCAGGGGAGTTCATGGGGCTGCTGGGACCACCTGCAGCTGCCCGGTGCCAGTGGCCCATGGGCCTGCCCCTCCCAGGATCCCCTGAAACCCAAAGTCGCCAGGGTCTGAGTACACGTTCAGGTTGGAAAGCCCGCTGGGAGTGGAATGGGCTCTCCAGATGAGACGTGGGGCCTCAGTGTGGCACCTGCTCTCTGCGCAGGGGGCTGGAGCACTCCTGTGACAGTAGTCTGGAGGTGTCCCCCTCATCCTGAGTACCCAGCGCCAAGCAGGGCACAGAGGGGGCACTCAGACCCAGTATTCAGCCTCTGGGGGCTCCGGCATGGTGGTCTCTGTCCCTGACTAGCCTCTCCTCCCCACCCCACCCGCTGCCCAGCTCCCCAGGCCCGTCTGGCCTCCCTCCGCTCCCAGTGAGCCCTCAGAGCCTGGACCTGCGGACCCCCCTCCTTCCTGAGCACACCCGAGGCCTTTACCCACAGTCCATCATCACTCCATCCCCTCGCTTCCCCCACTGGCCTAGCCTGCTGCACGTTGACGGGGGTCCTCCAAACAGCTCTGGTCCAGGCCACCTGACTCATCTGTTGCCTCATTTGATCTGTTCCTCCTGCTCCTGGTCTCCCGGGACAGCCTGGGTGGGGTCCCAGGGAGCTGGGTGAAGCACACTGGATGGAACCCTGCATGCTCTGGCCGCCCCTGCCCATTCCCTGGGCCTACCCTCCCTCAGCCGCACGGCCTTGGCACCACTGGTACCCTAGGACTGGGAGCTTCACCCCAGTAGCTGTTAGCCCTGCTACGGTGTCTGGCCTTCGCCGCGGCTACGGAGTGAATACGTGAACAAGTGAATGGACTTGGGTTTGTGGAAAGGCCTGTGTGGCTTTTATTTGCCTAGATGACCTGGGCACAGACTTGGGCCTCGCCGGGGGGCATCCTGCCAGCTGCCTGAAGGAAGGGGCTGTCCTTTGGGAGGGGCGTCCCTAGGATGCCGGTGTGATGACAGGAGTTGCCCTGTGGTGGCCGAGGCTCTGAGATCCTGTGCAGCCACACCAGCTCCCCTGATGGCTGTCACCTCGGCAGGTCCCTGGGCGTGAGCATTTGGGAGCTCTTTGAGCTGGGCGCGCAGCCCTATCCGCACCACTCCGACCGGCAGGTGCTGGCCTACGCCGTCCGGGAGCAGCAGCTCAAGCTCCCCAAGCCCCAGCTGCAGCTGGCTCTGTCTGACCGCTGGTGAGGACCTGTGAGGCCAGCCTGGGTGCAGGGTCCCCAGCAGGAAGGGCAAGACCAAGGGGGTGCTCTGAGTCTGACCGCCTGGGTTTCCGGCTCACGCTGGCTCCCCTCTGGCCAGCGGTGACCTTTGGGACCTTTCCTGTCGTCTACCACAGAAGCGGTCTCTTTACCCCAAACACAAACTCACCTGCAGCCGGGGTGGAGATGAGCTAAGGAGAAAGGTGCCGCCGCCCACTGTGGGCTCCCAAACCTCGGAGCCCACCTTGGAAGATTTGGGGTCTCCCGTAACAAGTTGGAGGTTCTCTTCCCTGTCCTTAAGGGACTCTGAGTAGAAGGGGAGGCCCCCAGCCCTTCCTGCGGAGGGCAGGTCTGCTCCTCCCTCCAGGGGCGGGGGTCCTGGCCGGGCCGTGCCCGGGGTGTGGGGTGGCCAGGGCCCGCTGGGCAGCGGCTGAGCCCTGGGCCTCCCTCCCCGCAGGTACGAGGTGATGCAGTTCTGTTGGCTGCAGCCTGAGCAGCGGCCCACGGCTGAGGAGGTGCACCTGCTCCTGTCCTACCTCTGCGCCAAGGGCACCACTGAGGCGGAGGACGAGTTCGAGCGGCGCTGGCGCTCCCTGCGGCCGGGTGGGGGTGGTGCGGGCCCCCGGCTGGCAGGCCTGGCTCTGGGGGGCGCGGGGGAGCTTGCGGCCGCCTCGTCCTTCCCGTTGCTGGAGCAGTTCGCGGGCGACGGCTTCCATGCGGACGGGGATGACGTGCTCACGGTGACAGAGACGAGCCGCGGCCTCAACTTCGAGTACAAGTGGGAAGCGGGCCGCGGGGCCGAGGCCTTCCCGCCGCCAGGGGGCGCAGTGAGCCCCAGCCGCGCCGCGCGCCCGCAGGAGCTCTGTGCCCCCGAAGGCGCGCCCCCGGGCGTGGTGCCCGTGCTCAGCGCGCACAGCCCCTCGGTGGGTAGCGAGTATTTCATCCGGCTGGAGGAGCCCACACCCGCCGCTGGCCATGATCCTGACTGCGCCGGCTGCACCCCCGGCCCCCACGCCATGGACCTGCTCCCCAGTGGCACTGACCAGGACAATGACTCCGAGGGCAGCGCGGATGCCTCATTGGCCATGGAGCCGCTGCTGGGCCATGTGCCGCCCCCTGGGGGGCCCTGGGGCCACTGTGACTACTACCTGCGCGGGAGCCATGCCCGGGACCTGCCCTGCACCCTGAGCTCGCCCTCACTGGGGACCCTCATGCTGGCGGAGCCCAGGGAGGAGGATGGCGACTGGGGCTCAGCTGCCTTCTGCCCACCCTTCTTGGAGGACCCGCTGGGCACGTCCCCTTCGGGGAGCTCTGGGGCCCAGCTGTCCCCGGGTGGGGAGGAGATGGGGGAGGCCGAGGCATGCAGGGCTGCCCAGCACAGACACTGGAGTTCCAACATGTCCGCTAACAACAACAGTAGCAGCCGGGCACCAGGTTCCTGGGACCCGGGATATGTGGGTGGCTGCATGGGCTGCTGCCCCAGCACAGAACTCACCCTACAGGCTGTCCCTGAGCTGGGCTGTCCCCTGACCCTGGAGGACACCAGAGAGCCTCTCCTTGGGCCACAGGGGGCCTCCTCAGGCCAGGAGCTCGGCCATTGCCTTGGCCTCTCTTATCTGTGTCCTGCTGGGGGCCTGGCACCTGCCACTTGCCTGGTGCCATCCTCCCGGACACAGGCGGCTGTAAGCCGGGGTGACAGCCCCCAGAGAGAGCCCAGGCTTGCTGAGGAGGCGGAGGGCCCTGCCAGACCTCCACGACCCTTCCCCTCTATCCCAGCCCCATCCCCAGAGGGAGCCCTGCTTCCTGCCGAGGAGGCCAGTGCCCTCGCCACCCCGCCTGCCTTGCCCATGCCTGCGGGTGGCTGGGAGGCTGCCCCCGAGGTAGCCCAGGGCCTGGACAGCTGCACTGGTTCCCCTGAGCTGGAAGAGCCAGTCAGTGAGGATGGGGACATGACAGAGGCCACTTCCGGCGTCTTCACGGATTTGTCCAGTGATGGCCCGCCAGCGGAGAAGCCGGACGTGACACTGGCCTTCCGCTCCCTGCAGAAGCAGGTGGGGACTCCCGACTCCGTGGACTCCCTGGATATCCCATCTTCCGCCAGCGATGGTGGCGGCTGTGAGGTCTTCAGCCCGTCAGTTACTGGCACTCCTGGCGGGCAGCCCCGAGCCCTGGACAGTGGCTATGACACGGAGAACTACGAGTCCCCTGAGTTTGTGCTCAAGGAAGCACATGAACCCTGTGAGCCCGAGGCCTTTGGGGAGCTGGTCTCCGAGGGTGAGAGCCCCGGGCCCGAGACTCAGCTCTCCACCTCCCTTGGAAGCCTTGGCGAGAAGAACCCCTACCGTGACTCAGCCTACTTTTCGGACCTTGATACAGAGCCTGAGTCCACCTCAGGCCCCCAGGAGAAGGGAGGATGTGCCTTGGCCCGCAGGCTAGAGCTGGACCTGGAGAGCCCTGGGCTGCAGTCTGCACAGCCCTCCCCTGCGTCTGGGGTCCCCGGGGGGGCACAGGGCACTGGCCCCAGGGAGGTGCCACCACTGCTCTTGCGGCCGCCAGAGGACTCTTCTCCAGAGCCCAGCAGCACGTGCCCGGAGAGCCCCAGACTGGAGCCTCCCTGGCCCCAAGGCCCTGCGCAAGGGCCTCCAGGTCCCAGCCCCGAGCGCTCCAAGGTTTTCCTGCTGACCCCAGTCCCACTGAGCTCAGAGAGCCACCGCCCGGGCCTCCAGGAGGCCCCAGGACTGCTTTCCGGGCCCACCCAGCAGGAACAGATGGGGGGCCCCGGTGCCCCCAGAACCCCACTCTGCCTGGCCTTGCCAGGGCTGCCCACAGCCGCAGAGGGCCGGTCGGAGGAGGAGGAGGGGGACAGCGAAGACAGCGACGAGTCGGATGAGGAGCTGCGCTGCTACAGCATCCAGGAGCCCAGCGAGGAGAGCGAGGAGGAGGCGCCTCCCGTGCCCGTGGTGGTGGCTGAGAGCCAGAGTGCGCGCAACCTGCGCAGCCTGCTCAAGATGCCCAGCCTGTTGTCCGAGGCCTTCTGCGAGGACCTGGAGCGCAAGAAGAAAGCTGTGTCCTTCTTCGACGACGTCACCGTCTACCTCTTCGACCAGGTGGGCGGCCGCCCTGGGCTCTGCGCGGGGGGTGTGGGTCCCCCAGGGGACGGGGAGCCGTGGGAGCCCCTGGCGACCGGGGCCACGTGCCGCTCTGACCCTCCAGGAAAGCCCCACCCGGGAACTCGGGGAGCCCTTCCCCGGCGCCAAGGAGTCGCCCCCCGCCTTCCTGGCGGGCGGTCCCCGCACCCCCGGTGCCCCGGGCCGGCCGCGCCGGGCGGACCGCTCCTCCGACGGCTCCGCGGCCTCCGTGGCTGAAGAGGGTGAGCTGGGGGCGGGGCCTGTCGGGGTGCGACGTCACGGGCGGGGGCGGGGCCTGCCGGGAGGGTGTGATGTCAGGGCGGGGGGTGCAACGTCAGGGGCGGGGGGGCGGGCCTGCCGCGCGGGGTCGTGACGTCCGCGACGCGCGTGACTGCACCGTGGGCTTGCAGGCCGAGGGCTCGCGTGGGACGACGGCTTTCCGCCGACGCCGGCCCCGGAGACCGAGCTGCCCGCCCCCGCCGCGCCCCCCAAGCCGGCCGCGCCCGGCCCCTTCTCGCGCTTCACCGTGTCGCCTGCGCCCGCCTCCCGCTTCTCCATTACCCACGTCTCGGACTCGGACGCCGGGTCCGTGGGAGGTGAGGCTGCGGCGGGGCTGGCGGGAGGGGACACCGAGGTGGGGCAGTGGGGAGGGCGGCCGGGAGGTCACCTGCTGGGAGCCGAGGCTCCGCGCTCATTATTTCCCATCTCCTGGACAAGGTTTTCAGAAGTGGAAACTGAGGTACGGAGGGATCGGGTCACGCCCAGGCCTGTCCTGGCCGCCTTCTGGGGGGATGCAGTGGCCTCCCCCTCTCCCTCCACCAGTGGCTGGCCCAGCACCTGTCAGGGCCCTGGGGGCTGGCCCTTAGACCTCACCCTCTTCTCTGGAGGCACCAGGCTGGACCCAGAGTGCCCCCCCAACTCTGCTCTCTGCTAGGCCTTAGCCCCCACAAACCTGCAGCAGCCTCTGCCACCAGAACCTTCCCAGCCTCCGCTTTGGGCTCACCCACTGCCCAACCTGGCCCCTCTCAGATCCCATGGCGCTTGCCTGGAGGGCACAGGTGGTGCTGGCTGAGGCGCCCGGCTCACACCTCCCTCCCTGCTCCTTTCCCCCGTGAGCCTCAGACCAGGCAGGCGCAGCCCTGCCAGGCCGCCCCCGACCACGTGCCTGACAGGTGTGCATTCCTGCATCCCTGCAACACTTCTCTGGAAGCCCACCCAGAACAATTCGTTCTGTCCCCCAGGCGGACTCAGTTCCTCCTCCACTCCCCATGCCTCTGGGGAGGGCCCGTCCGCTCACGGCTGGCATACAGCGTACCCTTAGTAGACGCCTGAACAGATAAGCAGGTCACCAGGAGGCTCGTTTGTGGTCCTGTTTGGGTCTCAGTTTCCCCACCTGTAAAAGGACTCAGACGGCATTTGCTGGGCTTGAGGGACAGGCCTGGGCTCTGGTGAAGCGGTGGGGAGACAAATGGGTGCGGCTCCCACGGAGACAGATGGGCAGGCCCGTTGCAGTGAAGGGGCCTGAGGGCTGCAGCTCCAGCTGGTCATTTGGCCCCTTGGCCAAGGACGGAGGTCAGGTGGGAGCCCTCGGGCAGGGGACTCTCAGGAATCTCTGTCCCCAGTGTGTCTCCAAATGCTCATGTGGCCCCTCCTGTTTGCCAGGCCCTGTAGCAGGTGCTGGGGGCAGCTGTAAAGAGGCTTGAGGCCCAGGCGGGCCTCCTTGGAGCCCCTGCTGGTCCTGCTCCCAGCGAGGATGGTGACCGAGAGCGGGGACCTTGGTGGTCGGCAGCAGCTTCCAGCGCCTTGGTGCCCCACACAGCACTCTGGAGGAGCAGGGCAGGATCAGAGGCCTCCACGCCGGATGGTGGGGCAGCCCTGTACGCCCTAGGGGCAGGGTTTACCCTGGACGCTCGGGTTTGTTGCTTGCTGCTGGGGATGCCCTATAGCCTCAGGCCTGAGCAGCTCCTTGCCCTACAGCTGCCCCTCCACCCTGACCCTGCTAATGGGCTGCTTGGCTTCTGAGGCCAGGGGACCTGCCCTTGGCTGGGGGGTCTTGCATGCCCTGCCCACCAGTTCGTGTGGTGAGTTATAGGAAGCTGTGTCCTCACCCCAGGTGAGAGAATGGGCACAGGCCCGCTGGGACGGCCCCTCTCTGCCCCCCTCGCCCCTTCTGCCTGGCTCTGGGTTTGCTCAATGCAAGAAGAGGACCCTGGGCTTGTGTGTCCCCCCCCCCCCTTACCTCAAAGTCTGTGGCCGTGGTTCCCTTCACTGACTTGGCTAGACCCATACACTCTCCCTCCCCGACGTGGTCTGGGCCAGCTCCCACCTGAGTCTGCTGCTGGAGCCCGGGCGGGTGGGCAGCCTGAAAGGTGGGGGGCTTCCCAGCCACACCCTGGCCCGGCCACACCTGTTCTAGAGGTGCCTGCGGCTGGCTGGCATGGCCAGCCCCCCTGCCCCCAGGGCACTGCCCAGACCCGCCCAGCCTCAACAGGACAGTGGGGGGACTGCACCCCCCAGTGCGAGGGGCTCCCGCCTGCAGGAGTGGGGGCACGGGAAGGAGTGGGGCTGGGGGGAAGCGGGGGGCAGGGCAGCGCAGGGAATATTTTTGTAACTGCTGTTGTCTGAGCGAATGGAAATGGGATGATTTTAAGTTATTGTTGCCAAAGAAACGTAAAGTTTATTGTTGCTTTGGGGGTGTGGGTGGGAGACTTGTTTTGGGTTTGTGTCTTTTGTTTTTGATTAGTTTGAGGCTTAGTATGCTGGTGCAATGATTTTCTTGTTCCTCTTTTGTTTGTTTTTTAAAAGAAATCAAGCTAAGGAAAAAAAAAGCCTTCGTCCTAAGTGTGTGTTTTCTTTTGTGGTTTGCACATAAAGCGCTGGGCAGGAGGGGGCCTGGGTGGTGCTGAGGTGGGGACTCAGCTACCAGGTCTGCCCAGGGCACAGTAGTCTCTCCTGACCACAGGAGGGGGGATGTGAGAGGGCGGCCACCTTTCCCCCCAGCTGCCCTGGCACACCTCGGTGGAGGGGGACAGTGACTTGGGGAGGGGAGGGGAGGGCACTGGCGGCAGCAGCCCTCTCTTCCTGTCCTGTGGGGGGGACCCACACACCTCCCTGGACGTTCTTGCCCCTCGCCTTCCGAAAGCATGGGGGTGGGGGCAGGGTGAGCGGCAGGCAAGAGGGTTTTTGAGGAGTCTGGGTTTCTGTGCATCTCTACCCCGAACACCTGCCCTAAGACCCCACCTGGCCCAGCTCCTGTGAGGCCAGAGGCCTGTGCCCCCACCTGCCCTACCCGTGACCCCTTTTGCTTCTCTTCCTGGGCTGTGGACAGGCTTTGGTCACATCAGGGCTGCCGAACCCCTCCTTCAAGAGCCTGGCAGGAGGGGTGACTGCTGCCTGGAACGGCTCCTCAGATGGGCACTGCTGGTCACCATGCTGGTCACCAGGGGGCTATTTCAGCCACAAATACTGTGGAAGCAGCTGGTGGGGGGACCCCCCCACCCCACCAACAACGGCACCCACTGTTCACTCCAGGGACACGGAGGAGAGCTGGGGGCCCAGCAGCCAGTTCTGGAGGGAGGTTGGGGTTTGGGTGGGGAGGGGGGGTGGGGCAGAGAGTCCCCCCAGAACTGCCGGCAGGAGTGGGGAGGCTCAGCAGAGTCCCAGTCGAGGGCTCCTAATAAATTCATCTTCCAGAGAAAGGTGGTGCCCCCTTCCTCTGCCCCAGGCCTCTCGCCCCCCCTCAGGCCGACAGATCACAAGCAGGCACAGGTGGGGCAGCCTGTTTATTGACCAGACACTCGGGAGCTGTGAGCGGTGTGGGAGCCGGGCTCCCCTTCTGGCTACAGGCTGACCGAACATCCTTCCCTCACCTGGGGGGCCACGGCCCCCACAGCCAGGCGGGCCTGCCTGTGAGGCTGGCCACACCGCCCAGGGGGCAGCTCCCAGTTCTGGGGCTGGCCCCACTCACTCTCCTCTGCCACGGCCCAGGGGCCACCTCCGAAGAAACGGCCAGGGTCCAGCCCAGGCCAGACTGAAGTGGGGCAGAGCCAGGCAGGCGGATGGCGTGGAGGGAGGAGAAAATTCTCTGGACAGGGACCACACAGATTGTTACAAAAGAGGTGTGTGTGTGGGTGGGGGAGGAGGGGCCCGGTGGGCAGCGGCGGGCACTTGGCCATCAGCCGAGGAGGGGGGCAGACCTGTCATTGGTCACTGTCGGCTTCAGCTGGACGTTGGCGAAGGGATTCCTGAGGAGAGAAGAGAAGAGTGGCTTTAGCGTGGGAGGGGCGCCGTGCCTCCCAGGCTGCCCTGCATGCGCCCCAGGGTCCCGCAGCCCCGCGGAGGGCCCAGCCTCTGAGCCCGGAGCAGGGCGGCGATGGAGCCTGCTAGGGACAGCCAGGGCAGGGCGCTGTCCGCAGGGCCGGCTGCCTGCCGATGCGCCCCACCTGCCGCCGTCAGCCCTCCTGGGGCAGGGTGGGTGGGGGTGTGGGGAGCGGCCCAGTGGGCCAGGAGCCAGTTCTTCCTCTGAAACCTGAGGCGGTCCTGAATGGGCGTGCACCCAGGCTTGGTGTTCCGCCCCATGAGGCCAAGGAGGCACCTGACACCTGCCCAAGAGCAGGAGCAGCCCGTTTTTAAAGACACGCCGTCGACACACAGCTCAGCAGCTCTCACGACCCCGGCCCATGCATCCCGGGGTCCCATAATGCGGCTGGGTGCAGACACGGGGCCTCGGCCCGCCCCACGCCAACACGACACACAGGGGGTGCACGCACACTGGCAGCTATGGGGCTCAGCCCCCCGTCACCCCACCCCCACAGGCCTGAGGCCACAGCTGACGGACAGACGGACTGGCCAGACAAGAGGTTGGGATGGGACGAGATGAGCGCAGCAGAGACCAGCACCCAGCCTGGTCCTCACAGAAGCCTCTCCTCGGAGTCCCCACTGGGCTTGGGAGGACCTGCCTGGGCAGGGACAGCCGAGGAACAGCGGGCTGGGGACATCAGGCAGCCCCAGGGGTGACAGCACAGATGGAACGTGGGACACGGAGGGCTCGGCACGGACAGGACGCACTCCCGGCGAAGCACTCGGCTCTCGGGCCGTTACCTGGGGCGCAGTCGCCTCTGGCACAGCTGGGCTGGTGTCCGCAGGAGCTGGGTGGACGGGCGCTCTGTCCAGTGCCCAGTGAGAGCATGTGGGGGTGCGGGCACCGCCCTGTGTTTTCTAAAACGCGGAGACACTTTGGACTGAATTTTTAAAAGGATAAACCAGGGAGAGGAGCCGACTTATTGGTGCACAGCTTCTACATCTGCAAGTGACGACCGAGAATCCCACGTGGGTGCGCTGCTTACGAACGTCCTCTGGTACAGAGTGCTATGACCCCTGGGGTTCCAGGCCGCCTCAGGCCCCTCCATGAGCTCCGGTCCTCTCTCCGGCCAATGTGTGCAGAGCTTCAGTTTTGATGGTCAGGGGCAGCGGCCGCTTCAGGGCTCCCCAGGCCAAGGCTGCTGTGACCAGGGACATCTGCCCCCAGGACAGAGGGTGGCCCATGCCCTGCCTGCCACCTTGACTAGATTCTGGTTCTAGTGGAAGGCTTCAGGCCCTTGGCTGTCCCCAGCCGGGATCAAGGCAGGATGTTTTGGGGGGCTTGAACGGGTCAGGTCTGTTCGTCTGGGCTTGGGGACCGAGTAGAGGAAAGGGCACAGGCCTTGTGGCCGAGAAGGAAGGGCAGCTCCTGTGCTGAGCGGAGCCAGAGCAGAACGGCCAAGTGGGTTTGGGCAGCACACACCTTACTCCTGCCCTGGGCGTACCTGAATCCTCATCAGAAAAGACTGGTGGCAAAGCAGCGTCATCAGCTGGGGCTGGAGAGGGAGCAGCAGGGCCGGAGAGGCCACCCCCCACCTCGAGAGGGTGTCTGGTCTCTGACCCCCGACCTTCCTAATCTCCTTCCCCAAAACCGCGTGACCGTGGAGCGCGGTACCATCAACACCGCGGGTTCTGAGGAAAGGGGCAGGGGCTGAACTTGCCCCAGGCCTCCCCTCCGCGGCCCCTGCCCGGGCCCGGCCAGAGACCTCTGGCTGGGGTGTGCCCACCCTGCAGCACCACGGGGAGGTGCGGCCCCGGGCGGGGGGGCCTACCACCTCCTGGGGAAGAGCGGGCTCCTGGGCTACCCGAGGGCAGGCGTCTGCGTGACCCTGGGCGGGTCAACACCAACCTGACACAACAGGACACAATGCGGACCCGAGGCCCACCTCAGAGTCTCTGGTCCCATGGACATAGGTCACTGCTTGGGGGAGCGCGCCAGGGACAGAGGCTTCCTCCCAATAGCACCATTGGCGGACACTGACCACAAACCACCAAGACACAAGGAAGCTAGCGTCCTGACAGCAAAGTGCAGTTGACGGGAACCACCTGAGCACAGCAGGCCCGGGATGGCAGGTTTGCTCCAAGTCAGGAGCCGTCCAGGCGTCTCCCACGGGCGCGGCTGTGACCAGCCCCGCCCCGCCCCCCCCCCCCCCCCCCCCCCCCCCCCCCCCCCCCCCCCGCCCGAGCACACCTCCTGCAAAGACTCCGGAGCAGGCCCTCGGACAGGGAATGGATCTACACTCAGCGGAGCAGGACTGTGGCTAGCTCCCAAGCCGGGACCCCACCGTGGGGGGCAGATCCAGTACTGGGTTCCAGGGGCCACCCTTCGGGGCACCGCACCCCTTTCTGCAAACCCTAAGGCCCAAGGGGGGCGCCGAGCGTCGAGGCCCAGCACCTTCCCATTCAAATCTTGCGTGGGTTTAAGGAGTGGCCTGTAACTGTCTTGAGTCCACTACATGAGTGTGAAAAAGTTGTTTCGGGGTGCGGTTTCCATCCTCCCGTGACTCTGGAGCAGAGGGAGCAGAGAGCAGCTGGGGCAGATGTCCACTTTCTCCGGAACATTCTCCTCTGAGGCACAGGCGGTTCTCATGCCTCCAGGATGCTGGCCCTCCTGGGGTTGAGTCCACCTTGCTCTGCGCCAGGACCGCACCATGGGGGGGCACAGCTCGGCAGAGCCGGCCGGGGCGCCTCAACCAACCCAGGGGCTTCTGATTCCCCACCCCCGGCTGAATCTCCAGTCTCGGGGCCGGGCCGGTTCTTTGGTGGGGAAGCCAGCTGGTGGCGTGGTGCGGATGCCCATGGCACCCCCGGGGGCCGGGGGACTGCCCTACACTGGGGACCAGGGCTCAGGCAGAGGCCAGGCTGGCCTCCAGAGCAATGGGGGCTGCAGGGGCAGTGGGGGTGGGAGGTGCAGGCCTCTTGGAAGAGGAGGAACCTAGAGGCAGGGAAGGCCTTTCCACACTGTCCCCAAATGTCAGGAGCATTTGTCTCCAGAACTTTCCAGAAGTTCCTCACACTGCAGCTGAGACACACTGAAAAGCGAGTGAGTCCAGGACCTGTTGGGGCAGTCACTGCCCTTGGGGAGGACCACATTGCTGGGGTGCTCCGTGGGGTACGGAGGATGCAGGTGCCAGCTTCATGGGGCAAACTTCTCGGTGACTGGGTGGGGGTGGGGACAGGTGGCAGCGGTGTGTCCTGTCCCAGGCACAGGGGCCCAGAGTGCTGGGCTACCCCTTGCTCGCTGTTGGCGCTTGCTTTCCCAGGGCTGAGTGCAAGGGACCATCACAGGATGGGCTGTAGAAGGCCAGCCAGGGCACCCACACATGGTGGCTGAAGGCCTGGTCTGGAAAGCCTGCTGCAGCCTCGTGGAGCCTCGTCAGGGCAGGTGCGAGGTGAGTCCAGGCAGAGCAGACAGCAGCGTCTGAGTCCACCTGCTCCGGTGTGCCCGAGACACCCACATGGGCATGAGCCACGGAGCTGTCCCTAAGACCGACCCTGGTGTCCCCGGCCCCCCAAGGGGCTGCAGTACTCACCAACCAGAGAGCCGGCCAGGCCGGGCTCAGACCCACACCCATAGGGGCCGGTCCGAGGGGACACTCGGCCCAAAGCTGGCCTCCCGGCCGATCACTGGGCTTCCCCCTGATTGTGGCCGAAGCGCCCCACAGAGGCAGGAGACCCAGGCAGAGGGCCAGGGCTGGACCATGCCCAGCGGTGCAGGGAGGGGCCGCGGGTGCAGGGGCGCAGCCAGTCAGGCCCACAAGCTTCCAGACAGAGGGAGGAAATCCCAGAGCCCGAAGAGCAATCCAAGAGGAAGCGAAAAGCCCAGAGCCCAGAGCAGAGGCAGGCTCAGCAGACCCTCGTGCCCAGTCTCCACCTGCCAGGGCCGAGGCCAGAGGGTCTGCAGAACCACCGGGAAGGCAGACCGACCAGCATGAGAAAACCAGGGCAACTTACTAACTCTAGTCAGGGTCAGCTCAAAATATGGCCACTTCCACATCGGCGCTGCAAGGAAACACAAGGGCTCTGTTGATGCAGGTGGGTGGGTGGGGGGATGGGGGGGCCCTGCCAGGGGCACGTGGCCCTGCCACGGGGTAGCCGCAGGGAGGAACAGGAAAGGGCTGCCCACGGCAGGCGTCCCCAATCAGCCCACGTGGCCCAGCCCCCCGAGAGGACAGTGACTGCGTTGTCTGCGCATCTCAGTCCCTGGACGGAGGCTGGCTCGCTGAGGCCGCCCAGATCTACACAGCGAGCCTGGAAGGAGGCACCACACCCAGCTCAGTGCAATAAATAAAACTTTTATTCAAACGACTGCAGTACAGGGCACAATTCAGATTAAAAAAAAAAAAGAGGAAAGGAAACAGGAAAATATTTTGAGCACTTAACATCTTCATACGAGTGTTGCAGTTTTGTGTCTACATTCATCCATTGAGCATGGAATCCCCTGGATTTGAGATCTTTTAGCAAAATCAGAACACCAACACGGAAGGCTCTTTGTACATGGGTCCACGTTCTGGCTTTGTGTTTTCCTTAAATATAAAACGGGTCTGTGTCTTGAGCTGCTTCTCTCACAAACACTCCCAGCCACATCCTAGTCCACAGGAGAGCGGGCGGAGGGTTTTGTTAGATCATGTCAGAAAAAGGAGCGTCCACAGCTTGGCAGGGGCTCCTGTGGCGGGAGGGGCCGGGCGGGGCTGCACCCCGGCTCCCGCCCCAGATTCAGGGTGTGAAGAGGCCAAACCAGTAGCTGCAGAGTCCAGCATGTCCGCTTCGGAAGTCACCAAGACACACAAAAAGACGAGAGCGTTTAGGGAGGACGGGGGCAGGGACTGCCTCCTACCCCCCCTGCCCCCCGGGGTGGCGGGCGCAGAGCCGCCCTCCCCAGGGCCAGAGCCTGGCGGCCTGGGGGCCACGGTTCCCTCACAAGGCTGTCCACTGGTTTCCAGAACACGTGTGGGGGGGTGGTCTCTGGAGCTCTTTGGAAAGTCTGCAAGGGGCCGCGCCTGCCCGCCCCCGCCTGGCACCGCGTGAGGTCACACGGCCCTGGGGATGCCGCCTGCCCGCGCTCTGGTCTGTACACCGGCCCAAGCATCCGCGGAGAAGGAAGCGCTCAGGGGCCCGGGCTGCTGGGCTGCACGGGGCCGGGGGCCGTGGCCTCCCTCACAGGAGCGGCCAGCTTCCTCAGGAGGCCCCCCGGCTGGCACGAGCCCGTCTGTCTGTTGGTGTGGCCCTGGGAGGGGGCGCCTGTGGGGCGTCGAGCCTCCCCTTCCCTGACACAGGTGTCCGCGTCCGCTGGGGGAGTCAGATGCAGGAGTAACAGTACGCACACCAGAGTCCATGCAGATCTGCTTTTGTTTGTCAGGAAAGAAAAGTCCTTTTCCTGTTTTTCTTTT